AACTCTATGCCACACATGGGACTTGAACTCACCACTTCAGGATCAAGAGTTGCATGCTCTTCTGACTGGACTAGCCAGGCGCCCCTATCTCCTTATGGTTAAACAAAAACACTCAAGCCTTCCCGTCCCCCCGCCATGGTTTCAGTTCCTGCCAGACTGTTACAAAAGCTTTCAGTTCCTGATAGACTGTAATACTGAAAAAGAAACACCACTAACTCTCCAATTTGGATGAAGAATTCAACATTAAAAAAAAAAAAAAAAAAAAGATGTATCTAATAAGGAACTCAAATTTCATACGTCCAAAACCAAACTCTTGGGCTTCTCTGCACAGGGCACCTGTTCCCCTTATGCACTCGAGAAAGCAACTCCATGTTCCAGTCAGGCAGGCCAAAGGCCTTGGGGTCGTGCTCACCTTCTCTGACTCTCCCATTTCACAACCTGCTCAGTGAATCCAGAGCCTGACCTGCATACTCCCTCCAAAGTGAAGCCACCACACTTTCTTGCCTGGAGTACTTGCCTGGCTCACTGTCTTTGCTTTCTCATGCTGATTCTCAGTCTGGCAGCCAGAGGGATCCTTTCAACTTGAAAAGCCAGATCATTTATTTCACTCGTCTGCTCAAAATCCCCCACGGACTCCCAACTTCTTACAGTCACTACCAGCTTCTACCCAATCTACAAGTCCTGTTTACCTCTCTGAGGGCTCTTCTGTTCGAAATGCCTCACTCCAATCGTTCTGCACCCCGCTCCCCACTCCCAACCCTCAACCCCCACCCCCACCCCCAGCTCCTGGAACATGCCCAACCCTCCCAGGCACTTGTTCTGCTATTCCCTCTGCCCAGTGCTCCTCCCCAAGATTCAAAGGGCTTGCCCCTACTCCTCCTTCAGATCTGCGCTCTAAGTCAACAAGTATTTATGATCTGCCTTTTCGGTTCGCCATCCAAGGGGGAGAGAAACAAATCAACAGGTGCTTAAAATACAGTGGGTTTCATGCCACATCTGAAGAATCATGGGGCACTACAGGGTCTTAAAGGAGGACTAGACTGGGGAGAGCCAGATGGAAATCTTTTAAAAATAAGGACCCTGTGGGGTGCCTTGGTGGCTCAGTCGGTTAAGCAGCCAACTTCGGCTCAGGTCATGGTCTCAAGTTCAAGCCCCGCATCAGGCTCTGTGCTGACAGCTGGGAGCCTGGGGCCTGCTTCAGATTCTGTGTCTCCCTCTCCCTCTGCCTCTCCCCTACTTGTACTCTGTCTCTCTGTCTCTCAAAAATGAATAAACGTTAAAAAAAAGTTTAAATAAATAAATAAGGACCCTGTGACGCATGTCCCATGGTGGTATCCCCAGCGCCCTATCCTATCCAAGGAGTTCTTGTGGTTTTTGTTTAATAGTGATTATATAGAGATGTGTCTGACACTGTCTTGAAAGGTAACAGCAAAATGAGGGAGCACTTAGTTATCAAAAGTGATAGCCTAGGAATCAACTGAAACAATGCCAAATTAATCAAAACAACGTTAAAGTAATTTTAAATTATCTTATAGTGCTTCGTTAACTTTTCATACTGAATTTTATCTTTAGAGCTTTACCAGACAATATATTCAAATTATGGCAAATTGTCTTCTAATTATTGTCAACGTGAGTATAATGTTTCACAAAATTGTGACTGGGTGTACCTACAAACTTTTTAAAATCTGCCCCTTTTCATGGACTATCCCTTCATGAGCATATCTCTCCATCACATGGGCTGTGTGGGTTTCTCACAAGCCTTCATTCACCCTATTTTTTTTTTTTTCTCTGCTGAGTTTTCTTTCTTCAAGAAGCATTGGTCCAAATAAGCCATCACATGGAAGCTTTCCCTATAGGCTCAGGGTAGCAAATCAGCATTTCTCATCATTTTCCCTGGGTATCTTCCTCCTCCTCCTTCTTTCTTCTCTTGTCTTCCGTTCCTAGAGGTTTGTGTGTTTTTGTTGTTTGCGGGGGTTTTGTAGCCTTTTTTTTTGACCAGGAATATAAATGACACGAGCAAACTGTAAGGTTCCCGAAGATCGTGGACCTTTGCCTGTGTGCCTCTTGCCCTGGCCTCACTCACGCTTTGATTCACTTCTCTCTCTGGTCAGACCCACAGGAAGCAGGAATCCAAAAACAACCTCCACGCCCCACCCCCACGCCCCACTCCCCCCGTCAGATTCATAAAAAACATTAGCTAACAGCAAATACGTATTAAGTCCTGACAATGTGCCAAACATTCTGCATATACTCTGTCACGTGGTCTTCATAACATCACAGGCACAAGTGGGAAAACACCAGACTCAGGGCGAATAAGCATCATGTGTATGGTGACTTGGGTATTGAGTGGTGGAGCAATTTTTTTTTTTTCCTTTCAAGGGTAAACATTTTATTTTTGAGGAACTTTATAATGCACGTTTTCTTTCTTTCTGTTTTCTTTTTAATGTTTATTTATTTATTTATTTATTTATTTTTTAATTTTTTTTTTCCAACGTTTATTTATTTTTGGGACAGAGAGAGACAGAGCATGAACGGGGGAGGGGCAGAGAGAGAGGGAGACACAGAATTGGAAACAGGCTCCAGGCTCTGAGCTATCAGCCCAGAGCCCGACGCGGGGCTCGAACTCACAGACCGCGAGATCGTGACCTGGCTGAAGTCGGACGCTTAACCGACTGCGCCACCCAGGCGCCCCAAATGTTTATTTATTTTTGAGAGACAGACAGAGTGTGAGCAGGGGAAGAACAGAGAGAGAAGGAGACACAGAATCGGAAGCAGGCTCCAGGCTCTGAGCTGTCAGCACAGAGCCCGATGCGGGGCTCCAACTCACGAACCGTGAGATCATGACCTGAGCTGAAGTCGGACGCTTACCGACTGAGCCACCCAGGTGCCCCACTCTTTTTTTTAAGTAGGCCTCATGCCCAGTGTGGAGCCCAATGCGGGGTGGAACGCACAACCCTGAGATCAGGACCCGAACAGAGATCAAGAATCTGAGGCTCAACTGACTGAGCCACCAATATATTGCACATTTTCAAAGAAAGTCATGTAAGAAAACAAAAATGCTATCCTATTTCATCCTAGAAATAAATAAGAAGGGCATAAAATTTCCTTTTAAATCCTAACACTTGGAAGTTTAACACCAGCATCCAAAATAATCGAAATGGGGGGAGAAAACTTTTATTATATGTTTCAGATTTCTTTAGTTGGGATTCTCCCCATGTGTTATTGATATTTCTTCTTTCAACTCATATTACCCAAACAGTAAGAAAACAAAAAACAAAACACAAAAGCCTCGTGGCTGCTCACTTGTCTCTGTACAGTCATTCTCAGGATCTCGGCTTGCTGGAAAAAAAAAAAAAAAAAACCTCTGCTGACATTTTCCTTCTCTAGTTGTTTGTTTCCTAAGGAATGATAGTAAACATTCAAATGCCCACATCTTGGTTAGTCTTCCACTTTATCACCTGGATGTTTCTTTGGTGCTGGTAAGGCCATTGCCTGCTGTTTACTTTGTTGCATTTTTTGAACGCTTAATTTTTTAGGTTACCAGTTGATGGTGAAGGTGCCTGGAAGCCTGATGTTAGTTACTAAAACCAAATTCCAACCACCATGCAACGCTGGTCAGGGAAGCTGACAGGGGCGTAACAAAGTGGTGAGCAAAATTGCAGCCGTCACACACACACACACACACACACACACACACACACACACAGTCATTAGGAATGGTTGATTTGCAGAATACTGGCGATATCTGACCCTTGTCTTTGAGGAAGGGAATAGGGTTGCTTTCAGAATGGCTCCTTTTCAAGTTCCCTTGGTTTTGCTATAGGGTGAGCCCCACCTACTCTGGTTTGAGTAGCATGCTGGATGAAGTTCCTTAGAGTTAGGTCTCAGGATAATTCAAGTCACTGATGAGCACTGTAGTGAGATTCTTGGCAACATAAAGGAACTGCCTCCTTCTGCCTGCTCTCTTCCCACCCCCATCATCTCCCTGACTCGGACTGCTTTATTTTGTCTCAGCAGGCACCTGAACATAGCAGATACTACAGGATTCTCCCCTGGTCCTGGGCTTTCTACCTAAGAAAGGCTGTTCTCTATCTGGTCCCAAAGGTTCCTCTCCTCAAAGTCAAGCTAACTTTGGCCTGAATTGCCCGGGATTTATCCTCCTTCCCCTACACCAACCCCACCACTGACGTTGCTTCGGCTCTGGTTTCTAGAAAACCAGAAGCTGCCCTTGCCTCCTCCTTCTATCCTTTTCAGTTTGTTCAAAATATCCATCACCGAGGCATTCTGGTTGGTTTGCCCTTCATTGAGTCTCAGTGCCTTTTTGCTACATTATGCAGTTGGCATCTGGGTGACCACAATGGCAGGTGCCACTAATGGGGAATCCATCTGTCTTGCATAGGATCTTCCAACAGCAGCTGCTACTTCCTGTTTGAAAGCTCAAACCCCAAGTAGACCCACAAGTAAGTCAGAGTTTCCAGACAGAGGGACTTTTCTAGTGCTCAGCTCATTTGCACAAGGGAGATGACACTAAACCCAGGGGGCACCGGGGCCCCTCCCAGCCCAGGCGACCAGCTCTGCCAATCCCGCTCGTCTACCCTGGCTTTCTCCGATGATTCAACTGTGGGCTACACTCCTTCCCCGTAAGAGGATTTTCCTCCACTCTAGACTCCACCAGGACATTCTCCCGTATCGAATAGTGTTTTTCACACCTCAGTTGTTCATATACTGTACTCAGAATTTTTGTCATGGTTTAGTATCACCTATACTATTAGTTTTCTTTGATGAACTCAGCTTTTATCTTTAAATTTAATTTACTTCCCTGTTGTCCTAAATAATATTATTTTCACGATTAGCAGTTTGAAGCACCAATTATATATTATCAAACACACATTAACGAAACACGTAATTATGAGAACTGAGTCCATCTGTGTCAACAGAACACAACCGTTTGTTCCAAGAAATCCTTGCCCAGGAAAATAAGATCGTACACCAATAAATACCTTTGCTGTTTGCTTCAGGAAATTTCTGCAAATGACTTTATTCAGGAAAACAGTGTGCCCACCTGAGAAAACATCAGATAGCAGTTTGCTCCTGCAGATCCTCGCCTTGCTGTGTCCTCCCATCCCAAACCCGGCCCCCGTCCATTCTCTGCCTTGAGAGACCGACCTTCAACCACTGGAGCCCAGACCTCAAAACCTGTAAGTTTTCTTCTTTGAGCTCTGCTTCCTGGCACATAACTAAAACTGTCAGAGGAGTGCTCTCCTCTTTTGGAATAAGTCTAATAAACAGCTTTTCTTGCTCAGGCTTATTCTGATGATCTTTTCATTAGCAAGAATGAAACTTTAAAAAAATGTTCACCTGTGCACCACCTAAAATCATCTCATTCACTATGAAGGGTGCACATCGTATGAATTGACCAAGATTCCATCTAAAAATGATAATGGGGGGGGGGGGCGGCGGCCGGGCGGAGTCGGTTAAGCGTCCGACTTCAGCCAGGTCACGATCTCGCGCTCTGTGAGTTCGAGCCCCGCGTCGGGCTCTGGGCTGATGGCTCAGAGCCTGGAGCCTGTTTCCAATTCTGTGTCTCCCTCTCTCTCTGCCCCTCCCCCATTCATGCTCTGTCTCTCTCTGTCCCAAAAATAAATAAATGTTGAAAAATAAAAAATAAAAAAAAATAAAAATGATAATGGGGGCTCAGTTGGTTAAGCCTCTGACTCTTGAATTTGGCTCCAGTCATGATCTCACAGTTTGTGAGTTCAAGCCTCGCATTGGGCTCTGTGCTGACAGTGTGGAGCCTGCTTGGGATTCTCTCTCCCTCTCTCTCTCTCTCTCTCTCTCTCTCTCTGCCCCTTTCTGCTCATTCTCTCTGTCTCTCTCTCAAAATAAATAAATAAACTTAAAAAAAAAAACCACCTTAAAAACGATAGTAAGAGAGTGGTTCCTCTAGCAATTTGTGCTCAGCCAGTCCCTTCTCTTCTCTTCCCCTCCTTATTTCCACCCCCTTACCTGATCCTCACTACCAAGGCCCTTTTTGTGCCTCAGCTCCCTGCCTTCTATGTCTCTGAAGGCAGGACACAAACGAGGGGCAAAGGCGATGACCCACAGATGAGCAGATCACACAGTAGTGAGAGATACGAAGTAATAACCAGTCTCTGTGGTTTGAAAAGAGTGTTAACTTAAAACACAATAATCTGTCATTCGTGGAGTCAGTTATCACATGGGCCTCTCTGTACTGTAGCAAAATTTCAAGTAAATTGAAAAGTCTCCACTCCAATACAGAGCAGTATCACGCCCAGGTGGTTGCCCACATGGGATGATTTCAGAGTTTCAGGAAGGCTCCTCTGCCCCAACTGTCTTGCCTTTTCCCCCCATTTTCCCCACAACTCATAGATGTTATGAAACTTTAACTTTAACTTTTTAACTTTAAGCACTACCTTTCTGGTCCATCAAGGACAAAAATATCTGGGGAGATATGACAATAACAACCACTGATATTTATTGGTCATTGTCTTAGTCAGTTCCAGCTGCTATAACAAGAGTACCATAGGCTGGGGGCTTCAACAACAACCATTGGTCCTCACAATTCTGGAGACCAGAAGTCCAAGATCAAGGTTCTACAGATCTGTGTCTGGTGGGGACTCTCTTCTTGATTTGCAGATGGCCGCCTTCTTTGGGTGTCCTCACCTGGTGAGGAGAGAGAGAGGGCAATCTCATGTCTCTTCTCGTAAGGGCACTAACCCCATTCATAAGTGCTCCACCATTATGACTTAATCACCTCCCCAAAGCCCCACCTCCCAATTCCATCACACTGGGGATTTGACTTCAATGTATGAATTTCAGGGAACATAAACATTCAGTCCATAACAATCATTTACTATGGATAAGATCTGTTCTCATGTGTCTAAGTGCACTATATGTTGATTCTTAAAGAGCCCTGTGGATGGGAGGGACTGTTTTCCACAATTTGGAGATGAGAAAACTGAGGTTTCAAAAGGTTTGACAACTTGACCAAGGCCACTCAGCTGGCAAATGGCAGACCCAGGCACCCTCTGGGTTAATGCTTCACCAACATTACCAAGAATATCCATTCATTCATCATAATGCAAAAACATCTGATGTTGGTATAACCCTCATTGTTCTTACAGCTTGCACATTCATCTTCTTATTTCCTCAACAGGACACCCACTTGAGAAGGCATGATAGGTTCTATTGTTAGCCATAGTTTGTCAATTCCATTTCCTCTGGGATAAGGAAACTTGCTGCAGCAGGTTAGGGAAGAAAGGAAGGAGCAGAGAGAGACTGGGGAGAGACTGAGCTGAAGGGAAAGGGCACAAAATAGAACTGAATTCATTATCAACAATAGGCAAACTATGGAGAAAGCCCAAATGTCCATTGACTGATGAATGGATAAAGAAGAAGTGGTACATACATACAATGGAATATTACTCAGCCATCAAAAAGAATGAAATCTTGCCATTTGCAATGACATGGTTGGAGTTAGAATGTATTATGCTAAGTGAAATAAGTCTATCAGAGAGAGACAAATACCATATGAATTCACTCATATGTGGAATCTAAGAAACAAAATAGATGAACATATGGGAGGAGCAAGGAAGAGACGAGAGGGAAACAAACCACAAGAGACTCTTAAGGATAGAGAACAAACTGAGGGTTGATGGAGGGAAGTGGGCGGGAGATGGGCTAGATGGGTGATAGATATTAAGGAGGGCACCTGTTGTGATGAGTACGGGGTGTTGTATGTAAGTGATGAACCACTGAATTCTACTCCTGAAACCAATATTGCACTATATGTTAACTAAAATTTAAATTAAAAATATTTTTTTAAATAAAGCTGAACTCATAGATACAGAGAACAGATTGGTGGTTGCCAAGGGCAGGAGGTGGGGGTAGACAAAATGAGTGAAGGAGTTCAAAAGGTACAAAATCCCAGTTATGAAGTAAGTCAGTAAGTCCTAGTGATGTAATGTACAGCATGGTGACTGTGGCTGACAATACTGGATTGTGGGTTTGAAAGTTGCTAAGAGAATAAATCTTAAAAATTCTCATCACAAGGAAAAAATGTAACTATCTATGGGGATGGATATTGACTAGAATTGTTGTGGTGATCACCTTGCAGTACATACAACTATTGAATCACGTTATACACTGAAACTAATATAATGTTATATGTTGATTTCTCAGTAAAAGGAATGGAGCTGGGTCCTCTCTCTTCCTCCAGCACCTGCTCTGCTCACACAAAACACTGTCGTTATGTTTGGGTAACAAGTCCCCGAGGATGGTGTCCCACTTTGAGAAGGAAATCGGTAAAATAAAAAGCCACTGCAGAAACGAGAAATACACTCCCACTGAGATTCACAATGAATTAAACATAATCATAAGCAGAATAAGAGAGTATAGTGTTAAGGCTTTCACTGGACCTCCCTGAAGAGGAAGAAAAAACTCTTACTGGAGTTCCAGCTCGATTGTAGGTTTTAAGTTGATTAAGGGATGGGGCATCTGGGTGGCTCCACCAGTGGAGCAGTTAAGCAGCATCCAACTTCAGCTCGGTTCATGATATCATGGTTTGTGAGATCAAGCCCCACATTGGGCTCTGCTTCAGATTCTCTGTCTCTGTCTCCATCTCTCTCAAAAATAAATAAACATTTAAAAATAAACAAATACTGGGGCGCCTAGGTGGCTCAGTCAGTTGGGTGTCCAACTTCAGGTCAGGTCATGATCTCACAGTCCGTGAATTTGAGCCCCACGTGGGCTCAGAGCCTGTGTTGACAGCTCAGAGTCTGAAGCCTGCTTCCGATTCTGTGTCTCCCTCTCTGCCCCTCCCCTGCTCACGCTCTGTCTCTCTGTCTATCTCTCTCAAAAATAAAGATTAAAAACAATAAATAGGGGCGCCTGGGTGGCTCAGTCGGTTAAGCATCCGACTTCGGCTCAGGTCATGATCTCACGGTCTGTGAGTTCGAGCCTCGCGTCAGGCTCTGTGCTGACAGCTCAGAGCCTGGAGCCTGTTTCGGATTCTGTGTCTCCCTCTCTCTCTGCCCCTCCCCTGTTCATGCTCTGTCTCTGTCTCAAAAATAAATAAACGTTAAAAAAATAAAAAAATAAATATAAATAAATAAATAAATAAATAAATCAAATTGATTTAGAGAAATTTGCAATTCTAAGATATAGAAATCCAGGGCAATAAAGGAAGACAAGAACTATTTCAAATGTTATCAGCAAATTGGTGACTCATTGTCTACATTACCATCAGTTTCTCACAACAGCTTTACGAAGGAAGAATTATCAGCTTCATTTTCAGACCAGGATGCTGACATTCACAAAGTCTAACATATAGCTAGAAGTTTCTGTTATCAGAATTCGACACCAGGTTTGTCCTGCTTCAAAGGCTGTGCTCAGTATAATGAAGCTCCCAGATCAGTCCTACCTTATTTTTACATAGAAGAGAAAGCATAGACTGAGTCCACAATTCATGTGTCTCTAAGTTACCCCGCGTACTGCCTCAAGGATCTTAAACTGCCTTGTTTAGGGATAGAGAAGCACGTCTACATACAAGGAAACAAATTCCCTCGAAACACAATATCAGTTTTAGCTTTAGTCTGAATTTTTTTTTTTCTGAGAGTACAACAGTGGCTTTTGAACTTCTTTGAACTCGACCCACAGAATGAAAAGTCCTTTACGTTACACCCTAGTACCCACAAACACACGTGTGTGTAACAGAAGGTTCACAGAATAATACTTATACACGTGAGAAGCACTCTGACATTTTCGATTCTAGTCTTTCTTTTCTCTCTTACTGTTTTCTTTTGTTCACGGTCTTCCTCGTGCTTCTTTTTTCAAAACAATGTGGTAAAAACATTTAACATGAGATCTACCCTCTAAACCAATTAAGTGCACAATACAGTGTTAACTGTAGACACAGTGTTGTTCAGATGTCTAGAATGCATTCGTCTTGTGTAACCGAAGCTTTCACGAGCCGTGAGATCATGACCTGAGCCGAAGTCGGACGCTCAACCGACTGAGCCACCCAGGCGCCCCGAAACAGACATTTTAAAGTCCAAAGGAAACCAAAACTCAAAGGTTAGTTCATCGTCTGTGTCTCAAATGATATTCATCAGCTCGCTTGCTAAAACTAGGGCAAGTCTACCTCGGAAGCAAACGCACCGAAACAGCATGGGTATCACTATCCGCTAGATGGCGATATAGAACAGGCGTAGCCCCTACCTTAGCCTTGTTTACGCTGACCTGTGGGTTGATGTATGCTGCAAAAGAATTTAGAAACCCACGGTCGCCCAGCAATTCACTTGAATTCAGCCTGAAAGTTTATTCAGTGCTCCTGTTGTGTTTCTGCCTTTTCTTGGAACCTCCCAGATTTTAGCATCCTTCTTGATGACAGGCTAGCATTTACAATTAGCAATATCCAAATTAATTAATTAAATAAAATTAAATTAGTAATATCCGTGGCTACTTCCTTGTGGCTGTACAGATGAACTGCTGCTGTATGAAGTCAAAGCCATCATAATGTCTGTACTTATTAATGATCTGCAAAGGTAGCATATGCCATTAAGCTTGCATTCCTTGCCTCTTCCATGTGACATTTAAGAAATACCATGGGGGGCACCTGGGTGGCGCAGTCGGTTAAGCGTCCGACTTCAGCCAGGTCACGATCTCGCGTTCCGTGAGTTCGAGCCCCGCGTCGGGCTCTGGGCTGATGGCTCAGAGCCTGGAGCCTGCTTCCGATTCTGTGTCTCCCTCTCTCTCTGCCCCTCCCCCGTTCATGCTCTGTCTCTCTCTGTCCCAAAAATAAATAAACGTTGAAAAAAAAATTTAAAAAAAAAAGAAATACCATGGGTCCTCACATCACTTTCCTTGCTGACAATTTCTATATCTCTTAGTTGTTCTACATATGGTAAAGTCATTGGAAATATTTAATGGATATTTTCGTTCTTACTGTCCAACTGAAAAGGATGGTCTTCTCAAATATACATCGGCAAGCCATTTTCCCTGAAAGAACTAGTAGCCAGTAAGTTGCAAAATGTATCATAAAAATGTGTGCTTTTTGCAAGGTAGAAGTAGTCTTTTGAAATAATCCCATGTATGAGAGATTTTTAAAATTCTCATCAAGTGCTGCCTGTGTATATGACTTGTTTACATTTACTTGGTGGTCTTACTTATTTTTATAGTCTTTTCGATGTAAGTAAAGAGAAGATATTTATAAATGATTTTCTCTTGCTACTTATTATATTTATATATCATTTGCATTTTTATGAATGCATTTTAGTTTTACAACTGGGGAAATAAAGATGTTTTTGTCATTAAAATAATAGGCAACTATGAGGAAACACATAGATTTTAGTACAGCATCACCCAGAAAGGTATTACCAATAGATGGGTTGGATGCTCACACAATTTAAGCGCTTCATAAATTAATCCCAACCGTGGATTGCTGATTTAGGAAATGATATTTCTGAATTTAGGTCATGTCCACCATGTTCCCACCTACAATTAAGTATTGAAAGTGGAAAGAATATCAAGCTGTTCATTATACTAATTGTAAAACATTTAGTAAGAAACTGGTAGCAGAGCGGTCAGTTGTTAAAAACAGCAAAATCAGTGTCTCTACTATTTTATTGTCTTTCAAGCTGCAGAGTAAGCCCTATGCTTGTGAT